AGTAGATACTGGAGCTGACATATCAGTGCTCCCGAGAACTAAAACAAATGCTCACCAACTTAATAAACTTGTACTGTATGCAGCCAATGGTACCCAAATTGCAACCTACGGCACCAAACTATTGACACTTGATTTAAACTTGCGCCGGACTTTCAACTGGCCTTTTATTATTGCTGATGTAACTCAAGCAATTATTGGTGTCGACTTCTTGACACATTTCCACCTTCTAGTGGATGTCAAGAATAATTGCTTAATTGATGCTACAACTCAGCTGACATCACAGGGCCAAGCTTCTCACGTATCAAACGTACCTACCAACATAAGTGTTTTATCGGGCAGCACACGGTTTCATCGGTTATTAGCAGAATTCCCTGACATTTTAAACCCATCCAAATCAGGGCAGCATACTCATCAGCCAGAAGTGTATCATCACATTGAAACACATGGCCCACCTGTATTTTCCAAGCCTCGTCGTCTTTCTCCAGAGATGCTAAAAGCTGCTCGCAAAGAATTTGAATTCATGCTAGCACAGGGAACCATTCGCCCATCTAAAAGTCCATGGGCCAGTCCACTTCACATGGTTAAAAAGTCTAATGATGACTGGCGGCCTTTTGGAGATTATCGTCGACTTAATGCCGTCACAGTCCCTGACAGATATCCAGTCCCACATATCCAAGACTGTACCCATCTTTTTCATGGAACAAACATATTTTCTACCCTCGATCTTGCCAGAGCATATCATCAGATCCCAGTGCATGCTGAAGATGTGCCAAGACCTCGGTGACTACACCGTTTGGTCTCTTTGAGTACTTATATATGCCATTTGGCTTTCGCAATGCTGGCCAAACATTTCAGCGTTTCATACACCAAGTACTGTCTGGTCTCGATTTCTGCATCCCATATTTTGATGATATCCTGGTTGCATCTACAGATGCGGAAGAACATTTTCAACATCTGCGTCAGATTTTCACTCGCCTTAAAGATCATGGATTAAAACTAAATCCATCCAAATGTGTACTTGGTCAACCCTCAGTTTCCTTTCTTGGATGTCTTATCACCCAGAATGGAGTCAAACCTTTACCGGAAAGAGTCAAAGCAATTAACGACCTACCTCAGCCCAAAACCATCTCTGAACTGAAGCGTTTTCTAGCAATGTTAAATTTCTACCGACGCTTTCTGCCAAATGCCGCAAAAACACAAGCCTGCCTACATGAGTTTCTGAAGAATAGCAAAAAAAAACGATCAACGAGCTGTCCCTTGGACTGAATCTGCATTCGTGCAATGCAAACACGATCTGGCAAATGCAGCCACACTTTCTTATCACTCACCTAGTGATCAGCTCTCTATAATGGTAGATGCATCTGACACGGCCATAGGAGCAGTGCTTCAAGCCCATACCACTAAAGGACTTTCCCCAATGGCATTCTTTTCCAGAAAACTTACTACTGCAGAAAGGAAATACAGCACATATGACAGAGAGCTACTTGCTGTGTACTGTGCTGTTAAATACTTCCGGCACAACTTGGAAGGACACGACTTCATCATTTTCACCGATCATCGACCATTAACCTTCGCTTTTAGAAAAAACTCTGACTCATGTTCTCCTCGTCAGCTTCGACATCTGGATTTCATCGCCCAGTTTAGTACAGATATCAGATATGTCTCTGGTACTGATAATTGTGTCGCTGATGCCTTGTCTCGGGTAAACAATATCAACCTCACTACCCCAGATTTCTCTGAAATTGCAAAAGCTCAATTGCATGATGAGGAACTCAAGAACCTAATCTCAAATCCACAAACCTCCCTTCAGTTACAACCGCTGCACATTGATCCAACGCTTAAAATTTACTGTGACATAGAGAACAATAGAATACGTCCCTATATTCCTGTCAATTTTAGACGTGAAGTGTTTAATGCCTTGCACAATTTGGCACATCCTGGAATCCGTGCCACCAAAAAGCTGATCGCAGACAGATTTGTCTGGCCAGCGATGAATCAAGACATCACAGAATGGACTCGTTCATGTATTAGATGTCAACGGTGTAAAGTATCCCGTCACACTCACAGCCCCATTCAACAATTTAACCTTCCAGCAAGACGCTTTGATCATGTGCACTTAGACTTGGTTGGCCCATTGCCTCCTTCAAATGGTTACACTTACCTCCTCACTTGTATTGATCGGTACACAAGATGGCCTGAAGCCATTCCTATTGAAAATATATCCGCTGAAACTGTAGCTCGAGCATTCATCTCCCAGTGGCTTTCAAGATTTGGCATGCCTACCACCATCACTACTGACCAAGGCCGACAATTTCAATGTCACTTGTTCGCATCCCTCACCTCTCTTCTTGGCATTCGCCATATTCGCACAACACCATACCATCCATCTGGAAATGGGATGGTGGAACGCTTTCACCGATCTCTCAAACAAGGTCTGAAGTGCCACAGTAGCACACACTGGACAGAAGCCTTACCCCTAGTCTTGCTTGGTCTTCGCACAGCATTCAAAGAAGACATTGGTAGCACTTGTGCTGAAATGTTATATGGTGCAACCCTCCGTCTGCCAGGTGAATTCTTTCACCCAGAATCTACTCCAGTTATCGACCCTCCAACATTCCTTCAACGTTTACGTGAGACCATGAGCAATATCTCGCCAACCCCAGCATCTTCGCATAACCAGCCAAGCTATTTTGTACATCCTGCGCTTGAGACATCTTCGCACGTATTCGTGCGCAACGATGCAATTAAGCCAACTTTAACACCTTCATATGATGGTCCATTCAAAGTTGTCAAACGAACACCGAAACATTTCACCATCATCTGCAATGGCAAACAATCAGTGATTGGAATCGATCGTCTCAAACCAGCATTTCTAATGCAAGATCCAACAACTTCCTCATCAACATCACTCCCGGAAGAAAGCTTACATCCCGTTAAAGAGCAACCTAAAACTACCAGATCTGGAAGAAAGGTTAAATTTAACCCAAAGTACTTATAACGTACCGATGGTACTTGGGGGGGGGAGTACTGTGGCGTTCCGACAGATACTTCAACTTCTATTCATGAGATGGCGCCACGTGTAAAATCCAGTTCTTATTCGGAGCAGCAAAGCGACATCTTTATTCACTCAGACTTCTCGTCGGACAACTGTGCGCGAAGGTAGCATGAACTGTGTTCCGAGCTCTGTGTTGATCTCTGCAATGTAATTTAAATTGTAATTTAGTATTTAATATATTCTTTTGTTATAGGAGATTGTCTACTCTTATTTTCTTTAATTATATCATGCATTAAGCACACACGACCACCAAAAGAATGAAAAAAATATGTGAAAGGATAGACTAAGTTGCACAGAGGTTTTTATTTAAAAATTTGCAAATATCATGTCAATCATCCGATGCCAGTTGGAAGACATTCTCTTTCTTGGCATAATTAGCGAATCTACAAATTCCAGGCCCCGGACGCGTAATGGCAAACTTCACATTGAGTTGATCAATGTTAACGAATTTCGCTTAGTGCGCATGCTCAGTGGTGTACCGCTGGCGTGGGAGGAAATACTGGCGACTAAGGGGGGCAACCCTACACACGCCTGTTAGTCATGTTGGTTTTACTGTTTTACGATTGCAGTACTACTGAAATTTGTGTGTGCTTATTGCATGCGCTTCTGTTTCATTTCGTTCTGTTTTATTTTGTTCATAAACATTTAATTTAACATCAGTTATTTGACTTTAATTCAATAATTTAAACTGGATTTATTCCTTAAATTTTGGCAGTATATACGAAAGGAACTTATAGTAAATGCTCAGTTGCTTTTATTCCTCAGAAGTATAATCAATAAGCATTCAGCTAATATATCTTGTAATGTTTCCTGTTTTGTAATCCTTCTTAAACGAAAATGTGCGTAGTTTACAATCGATAATTATAATCTAAGTAATGAAGCAACTTACAACCAAAGGCCCATATCACACGGCGTTTGTTTCACAGGAACAACTGTTTCGGGCAATTTTTCTGCCTGGTTTACTATTGAAAGAAAGACGCGCGACTTTTCCCTTCCTTTCCAAAAAAATTGCAGGTTGTTCGTTTTCAACCAATCAGCTATCAGCTTCGAATGCTATCAGCTTGTTTGTAATGGTGAACTGCGTTTGTAATGGTGAACCTGCGTTAAGCCCAAAGCGATCTGTGTTGATTGGCTGTTGTGACAAAGCAGAAAAATTGTTCCAAACAGTTGTTCTTCCGAAACAAACCGACGTGTGATAGCAGCCTAACAAGTTTTAAAACCCCGAGCTGTTTACTCGTAGATAACACAATATCAACCGTATACCGTGTTTATCGTCTTTTAAAACTGCACCAAAGTTGCAATTGCGCCAAATTCTATTCTGGGCATGCGCAGTTAGCGAATTTCGTTTAACATTGATCAACTCAATGTGCGGTTTGCCATTACGCGCCCCGGACCTCACCCCCGCTCTCGATGAGAAAAACAATTAAAGCATTCATTCACTGATAAGAAAGAAAAGAAGCATTTGCTATGGCATCTTCTTCATCTTTGACATATGTGTTTAATTTCGAAAACATCCTTACGGTGACAAACCACTACGCACTTCCGCTAAGATTATTGTTATGAATGTTTTTGTCAAATTACGGGAGCGTTTTTCTAATAAATCCGGTAACAAAATTTTCACTTTTGCAGCTCATTTGACTGGCGTTTCCTGTGACAAGCCCGACCAAAAAGAAACTGGTGGATTTTCGACTCCGGGTCGACTGAGGGGAAAAAAGATTGGGGGTTCCAGTTACATAATATTTTTAAGTCTATGTAAAAAGCTAACTTGAACTAATTATGCTTCTACAATATTTCGAGGCTCCTCTGCGAATAGGCCGTCACAGTTTAGAAACCCCTTATCAGAAGTCGAGTAAAAAGACGTTTCTACATCTTGACACTCGAGAATAATAAAATAAGATCTGTGTGAGTTAAACTATTTTACAGACATTGGTTATTTTGTTTAGAAATATGGTTTCTCGATATGGCAACATTAAGTACCGTGGTTTATTTAATATTTGAAAACGGCGGTTAGATTTAAGTGTTGTAAAGAGATTTCAAGTGTACTGTGAGTGCTTGTGGTTTTATTACAGTACTTGAAGGTATGATTCCTGTATTTAGTACGGTATGCTAAGTATTTTCATTACAATAGTCATGGAAGTGGTTTCCTTTGGCTAGATATTTTTGGCTCTATTCTCTTTGTTTACGTTACTGTCGTGTTAAGGCATTAGAGTACAAACAAAATTTTTGAATACACTTCTGTTCAAATTTAATGGATTATTTTGCATTTGTTATGCATATTTGACAAGAATCAGAATTTCGAAACAGTATTTTAAGAGCGAATTTTGTTTTGCAGGTCAATATTTAAACATCAAGATGGAAGAACTTAATATTACATATTTTCGGAAGCTGTATTCGAATAACGTTAAACAACTTGAAGCTTCCTGTAAATACTGGGAAGAAATTTGCTCAAGTGTTTCTCTAACAGATGATGGTAAAGTATTCTTAATTTAAATATAAGAACTCTAAAAGCATATTCATTATGTATCTGAACTTCCGTGGTTTACTATTAACTAAACTTCACATATTATTCATATTATTTTTTATTTGTAACTAATAAAGCGATAAAAATATCAATTTCTTTGGAAGCACTTCCGCAGAGAACCCGGTAAATGTAAACATCGCCAACTTTGGCGATAATAGTTCAAACCTGGTATGCCGGTTCTCGGTTCGGGGATGAAAGGAGGGGTGAATGCTAATTTGTAACACGGCTGTTTACGTTGTGTTCTTAATTATTAACAGCTCTAAGAACCATGAGGTTTCCAACGTCTAAAATAATTTGTTTTCGTAGACCGCGAAAATGTGCATATGCATTTTAAATAAGTAATGCTTTTTATTTTTATTATTGGTTATTATCATCGAAAATTCTGAGAATAAATCAATTTTTATGGTGTAAAATTTTAACAAGATAATATATTGTTAATGCTTTTCTAACAATAACCTTTCAGAGGATGGCAGGTGTGACATAAATAGATGATTGAATTGAAATAAAAAAAATATTATTCATTATCTAGGATGACAGAATAGTTTGATGCAACACCATGGTCATCAAAATTAGCAAACCACTGCTGGAGTAAGGAATATATTGTTTTCTGTGTTAACTGGAATTTAATACAATTTTCGTATATCACGTTTAACCAGTTAGTTTTACATCTACATGCTTATTACCTGTGAATTTTTACTACAATATGCTTAATATATTGTTTTATCTGCTAACTTGAATTTACATGCACTAAAATTCACGTTTACGGCTCGCTCGGCTCATCGTCGATGAACCGCAAGCTTGGCAAGTAAAAATGCAACGGCGCCAACGAGTTCTTTCCCGAAGCGCCAACGGGTTCTCTGCGGATGAAAACCCATTTCTTTAATTATAGTAACATAATCTTTTTTTTTAAAATTATTAACAGCTGAATTTTTTACTTTTAACTTTTTGTGAAAGTCCCTAAAAAAATGAAAAGATGGAATGGAAGAGAAAAAAATTCATTCTAGACTTTTTTGATTATACTAACTAAATTATTGATCGCTGTGTTTTTCATGTTTATGTATACAAAGAGATTGGGACTTTGAAAATTATTTAAGACTAGCTAAATAATAACATTAACTATGATCACATTAAGCTGCATCTATTGTACATACATTCAGAAGCAATTTATTTAATACATATATAAACAAGCTATAATGCATCATATATATATATATATATATATATAATATAATATATATATATATATATATATATATATATAATCCATTAGTAAAAAATTTAAAAAACAAAGTTTGAGTAGTAAAGAAGAAAAAAAATTAATAAATAAAAAAAATTTTAAAAAAATCAGAAAGTTTTCAGATTTTAAATTATGTCCAAAGGGCTGTTTTTTAACGTTTTGTGTGTTATCTTTATTTATTAAATATCATGTTCTTTACACTTAAAACATAAAATTCAGTTCAACAGCACTGTCGCAAAATAATTTTAACACGTTGACTGCCCAACGCGAGATAATTCGTATTAACGCTCTTCATCAGGACGCTCAATATGAGTTGTCTCATAGCTTCTTGAATTGCCACATTTGTGCCGATACGAGTTACTCGCTTAGCACTTGTTTTAGCTGTACCGAGGCGACAAGTCGAAGCATGTCTGTATGAATCACCTTGTAGTGGGCTTTTGCGAAGAGCTTTGTCTAACAAAAGCTGACTATGAGGTAAAAATCATGTAAACTTTTTAATGATTGTTACGAATCATAATTAGTATTTTTAATAATATAATATGATTAAATCGATTTGGCTTCTCAGACCAGAATCCGAAGAGTGCAATGGCAGTCAATGTGTTAAAATGAGCACATCTTTAGAATTTCCGATACGCAGGTCTGCGCGCTGAAGAGAAAAAGTTCCCTCCCCTCATAGAGGGTTGCCATTGCTCACTTTTAAATCGTTGAGTTTGTTGATAAAAATTTCGGTTAATCTTCAGATTATGGTAACTTGGCGATTTTTTGCCGACCAACCCCTGCTACAGCAACCTGCTAGTTTTTTTTGGACGCCATTTTGTTTTCACGAAGTAAAAGCATATTTTTTTAAATCCATGTACACTGCTAGTCCTAGCTAGTAACCTTTATTGCCTTACCTTACTTATACTTCCACATGCCCATATTCGCAGTAGGATAACGTGATTCAAAATTCGATGGCTCTAGTTACCCTTGTTTTATCACAATGCGAGAAACTTGCATATATTTCTGCATATTTTTCATTATTTAATTTCTTCAAATATAATACATGGCGATAGTATTTGGTGGCAACGATTTGAAAAGTGATACAGCCTTTTAAAGTTTTCATCACAAAATCGCAAAACGAAAACAATAATCCTTCAGAGACAAAACCCCTTTGGACTAATAAATTATTATTTGATTAAAATTTATGGTACCCCTTGGTGAATCATCCCTTTTTTGACGCTAAGATCGATGCCAGAAAGGATTGGCACCAATTTCAAGATGATGTTGATCCTTCTGCCTGCTACACAAACCAAAACAAGAAGACTTACACAAACTTGGTGTCCATGTACACATCGACCTATTTTTACTTAAAAAAAAAAAAATCAGAGAATTGCACAAACTAAGCATTGCACACTGCCTTAACTTTGTCCATGTAGACATTGATCTATTTTCATTTAAACAAAATCAGAAAGCTAAAACAAAGTTAAAAACTATATATGCCTTCCCCGCGGCAGTTAAGGGTTTAATCTACATTCATCCTCTTACCCACCTCAGACATACTCAAATGGTACTCATAGCAAAATAATTAGCAAGTTTAAAATCCAAGACCATACCATGCACGTGCAACCAATCACAGCAGTTGAAAACCAAAAACCTGGGTCCATACGAATGGGCTACTATTATAAAAAATAGCCAAAATCTAAATTCATCAAACAAGTTTGCCGATATTTGCAGAAATAACCCCCTTTTAGTGATAAACACTTTGAAAAAAGAGAAAAAGAGAAAAAAAAAAAAAAAAAAAAAACAGTCAAAAGTCGTTAATTCGGACACCCATAATCCGGACCTCAAAGCTACAAACTTTCTGCGCATGCGCATAGGCGTTTACGCATGCGCATAAGACCTTTACGGCTGCGAATATGCGTGTGCGCATAAACATAATACATTTTTTTTGGTTTTCACAAAATAACAAGTAAAGGCTTATTTTTTACTCAACATTTTTTTCCAACAATCTGATAGCCGAATTACGCTTATGCTAGAACTTTTATGGAACAAAAGTGCTTAATCATGACGAAGATTAGGTGCAAAATTGGGAGAAAGTGCAGAATCGCCCACTGCTTGCTGCGTTTTTAAGAATTGCACATACACGGTATCCATGTACACGTCGACCTATTTTCACTTAAAAAAACATTTCAGAATTGCACAAAAATGGCATTGCGCACACTCTTGACTTTATCCATGTACACTGCTAAATTCCTAGCTAGTAACCTTTATCGCCTTACCAAAATGTTGCCAAACTACCTGTTACCATATTCCAAAGATTAACCGTAATTTACGCTCGGCACAGCCAACGTATACTACATGGCTAGATTGGAATTTTCTTAAAACACACTTGGGAAACCTAGAAAAGTCAGTAAATTCCATTCTCCTGTTTGAATGGCAATCCTGAAAATAAGTCATTAGTTATAGTGGTTGATGAAACATCTAATAAACGAAAGTGTGCATTTACAGACTTGATGAAAATTATTAATTCAGAAGCAGAGCAGTCATTTTTTTTGGCATGTGGTGAATTTTTGAGATGTTATTAGTTCTGCTTGCGCTCAAGCAGTCATTGATATGTTGAAAGAATATGAAATGGAATACTCCCAACTTAAGTATCTAATATCAAACTGGTGTACTAAATGACGACTTGCTTCATATTACTGAGAGTACTTGGAGAACTATATTTAGCTGTACCTGTAGGAGACATAAAGATAATAATATGTTTATTAAAGCATTCAAAGAATTAAATCCATTAAAACAGCTGTTTTGCATTTGAAAAAAAATTAAAAGTATGTGCTCAAAATTGGCAATAAAACTTTTATCTTGCATCTATTATAACCAGACATGATTCTTGATTTCAAGCTGTCACTTATTTGATTATCTGAGTGACTATACAGAGCATATTATTTCTTTTTCTAATGAATTTATTGACCGTATGAGCTAGAAATCCCACCAACCAACCTTAATAAATATGAGGATGTTAACTTAAGTAAAGTCAAAAGTCTTTAATTCAAACGTCCATAATCCGGACCTCAAAGCTACAAACTTTCTGCGCATGCGTCAATGCATAATGTGTTAACTCATGCACATAATACGTTTTCGCCTGCGCGTTTAATGTATAACGGACGGTGTAAGCTAAAATTATCTAATTATCTATTTCAGTTAATGTTGCAGATTGCGTTGTTCCTTAATCTTGGAATTGGATCAGGCTTATTATTTTTTGCAGACTGTAAGAGCAATTTTATAAAAGTAAGCTTGAACTTTTGATTATGTCAAAGAGAATTTCCGATTCTGGAGCTACCAAAGGATCTACAAAGCAAAAGCACGTTCCGATGTCCATCAAACAAAAAGTGGAATTGCTGCAAAAAATGGATAAAGGCATATCCTTTGATTCTCTAATCATTCCGAAATCTGTTTATCAATTTCATGCTGCTCTGTGTGTGTTGTGTGGGGGGGGGGACGATGCGGCGCGCAATTCCTTACTAAATGTAGTATTTCATCTCGATGTACTCCGTCTTTGATATGATTTAAATCAAGTTCCTCGTCATTATAATTCGCTTCCGATAGAGAAGAAAGTGACACAGAGGTTATTGAAAACGAAAAAAAAAATTCGATTGACAAATTAGTTGGAATTCTCGACACAGCAATTATAGGACTTGAACAGCGGAACTTTGTAACTAAACAAGAAATTATGTCTGTTTAATAGAATTAAAGAGAAAGTATTATCACATGAAATGAAGCAACTTAAACAACTTACATTGAAAGAAATGTTTAATAAAGTAAACACATAAATATTAAGCTTTTTCTTTTTGTAAATTTTGATACCCTTTAGATCATAATTGTTCTTTATTTCATAAATTACGGTTTCATATTTTTAATTTTATAATTTCTGCATGCCATCTTACCAGATTTAAACTGATGATCAATAATCCGGAATCGCCGAAGTCCCGACGAGTCCAGATTAATGACTTTTGACTGTATTTCCTCAAGGCTAGTTTTGCCAACATTAGGGTTACCAAAAAACCTATCCGGAATGATCTATAATCCGGACCTCAAAGCTACAAACTTTCTGCGCATGCGTCGCGTTGACGCATGTGCATAAGACCTTTACGGCTGCGAATATGCGCGTGCGCATAAACATAATACGTTTTACACATGCGCGTTTAATGTATAACGGACAGTATAAGCTAAGCTAAAATTATCTAATTCAGTTAATGTTGCAGATTGCGTTGTTCCTTAATCTTCTAATTGGATCCGACTTATTATTATTTGCAGACTGTTAGGGCAATTTTATAAAAGTAAGCTTGAACTTTTGATTACGTCAAAGAGAATTTCCGATTCTGGAGCTACCAAAGGATCTACAAAGCGAAAGCATGTTCCGATGTCCATCAAACAAAAAGTGGAATTGCTGCAAAAAATGGATAAAGGCATATCCTTTGATTCTCTAATCATTCCGAAATCTGTTTATCAATTTCATGCTGCTCTGTGTGTGTGTGTGTGTGGGGGGGGAGGAACGATGCAGCACGCAATGAACTGGAAGTTGATCTGGCAGCGCTATCCTTATCTTCAGGGCAGATGTTTTTATTTTATTCGGTTTATAATTACTTATTAAATGTAGTATTTCATCTCGATGTACTCCGTCTTTGATATGATTTAAATCAAATTCCTCGTCATTATAAATATCACGAATACACATCAAATAGTTTTCTGGTTGCAATTTTCTAATTTCGACTATGCATAATGTATGTTTTACGCATGCGCGCGTTGAAAGAAATGTTTAATAAAGTAAACAAATAAATATAAAGTTTTTTTTTTTTTTTGTAAATTTTGATACCCGTTAGATCATAATTGCTCTTTATTTCATAAATTATGGTTTCATATTTTTAATTTTATAATTTCTGCATGTCATCTTACCAGATTTAAACTGATGATCTATAATCCGGAATCGCTGAAGTTTCGACGAGTCCGGATTAAAGACTTTTGACTGTATCATAAAAGAATCTTTTGAAAATGAAATACTACCTCATAAAATATGGATTCAGATGTTCTTTCATTTCAAAATTCTGTCCAAAAAATTATGGAAACCAATTTTAAATTTAGAAGGATCAAATTACTCACAGGTTGTGGAGTCAGCCATGTGATTTAAAATCTTCTTTTGAGTGCAAGTGGGTATTTTGGTGATGAAACAAAATGTATTTCAAAAAGCAATATGTAGTTAATTAGATTCATCAAATGATCTTGATGACAGCAGCAGAGAAGACTTCGGTAAAAATATATTTATGGGTACCCCTTCGCGAAAATTAGCGATTTTGGGTGGCACATGGCAACCGAGTTTGTGAAATCCTTTGACTTGTTATTTTGACTTTGTGTAGCAGTGATTTTTTGCTAAAATCGCCACTACACAAAGCCAAAATAACAAGTCAAAGAATTGCACAAACTCGGTATACATGTACATGGTATCCATGAACATCCTATTTTAACTTAAAAAAAAATCATTAATTGCACAAACTAGGCATTGCACACTCCTTTGACTTTATCCATGTACACGTTGACCTATTTTCACTTAAAAAAACTCCCTTGACTTGGCGATAAATAAAAGTCAAAAGACAGGTTCAATGATGAATAAACAATCATTTTCATAAACAGCTTCTTTCAATGATTAACAAGACACATACACACACTAATGTCATATAAATTCTTAAAACAAAAACATTCTGTCAGAGAAACTTCACAAAAGTAGCTAAAGCTTTCATTATTCTGTTAGAAACATGGATGCAGAGAGATATTTTAATGTCTCTAAATAAAACTGTAGTTACAGACAGAATAGACTTAAGGAAGATAATATTAAGTCTGCAATTAGCTTTACATTAAAAAAAATTGTTTTGATATTGCAGTTTATTTGATTACAGTATGTTTGAAAAACAGTCATTTGAATTTTTCCAAATAAGTGCAAAATTTTCTTTTCTTATTTTGGTGAAATTTCCATGTTTTTTTCCAAAAATTGCATATTTTGATATGTCAAAAATGGTTAATAGTATTTTTAATTATAAAATTTGAAACACAGGTTCAAATTTCCATTTCAGTAGTTGATAAATATAATTATTTGTTTGCATCTTAAATATTTTAAAAATTTCTTTCAGGAAGTTTAAAAAATGCATATGCAGAATTAATTTTAAATTCAGAAAAAGGGAATTATTTTTCTTAGTAAATTATTGTTTTTTGTTTGGTAGTTCTTGGAGAAATACGGACTGCTGTTGGTCTAACGAAGCTACTAATTAGACAGAAGCTGAAGCAATTTGGTGATCTTGTGGATGAATCAGAACATAAAACAGGTGAAAAGGAAGTAACATGTCAAGATTTACAAGGATTTTGGGAAATGGTTTACTGTGAAGTAAGAAATAAATTAACTTGAAGAATTTAAGCAGAAAATGTATTTTTAAATTTTCAAATTTTTAAAAATCTTTTTATAGGTGGATAAATTACAGAACAGTTTTAAGAAGCTAGAGGAATGTCAAAGTAATAACTGGGAATTTTTTCCAGAAGAAAGTCCGGTAGAAGTAAAAAAAGTTAGATTATAATTAGTGTTTGTTTTCTTGTTTCATAATCATATATATATGAATTTTATTATGTTTTCTTACTCATCTGATTTTTTTGAAAGGTTTCATCCAGTAACCTACGGCATTTTTACAGCTTAAATGATGTTATTTGAGGATTATTATGAATCTTTTATTTCAAGAATTTAGTGTGTAAGGTGATATTTTTTTAGTAATGTGTTTCAAATCGAGATATAAACTATCATAAAATTCATTACTTATAAAGAAAAAAATAAGCAAAAAGATGCCTTCATGCACTGTCCAGTAAATCTCCTCAAATTAAGAGCCACAGAATTATTTAAAAATTAGTTTTTTTAATGAGTAATTTAGGTAACTAGTTTTTATATAGCTTAATAATCTAATATACTCATTTTAATGTTTTAAAATTGCAGAATATTTTAATTCTGTTGACCGATTCATTAAGAATTTTAGTTTTGTTAGATGTTAGCTTCTTTAGTTTACTATAAGAAGTATCTATTATATTGTAAATAAATTATGTAAAATTGCTGTTAAAATTTTTGACAAATTACATGTTTGTTATGTTGAAAAGGTTTAGTAAAAATAACATCTGATCATAAAGGGATGGAAAATGAAAAAAAGCTCCATAAATATTACACAAGGCATTGCATTTAATTTAAAAATTGAGAGTGCAGATAGTATTTCAGATAATTTGACCTCAAAATAAATATGTAAATATCAACAAGTCCTGGACTGAGGAGATTACTCATAATTAATCCTTCAGTTCAGGGGCAGTAAATTATTTCAGAAAACAAAGTAGATCTGACTCAAAGAAACTTTAGTAAGAAAAATTAACTTTTCAATTTCAGTGCATGTGAAGTGGATTTCAAGACATTTTAATGCTTTCTCAACTGGAATGTTAGTAAATAGTAAATTAACATCAAAAGAAACCAAAATTGGAACACTGGGGAGAAATATCTTTAATTTTATTCATGAAATCTAAAGAAAATTTTACGGTATAAATATTGTTAGCAAGTAATGCGGGGAGGCAAAAAACTTAGAAACCAAATACACCCCTGTGCAAAATTAGAGAATTTAAAAATCATATCAATCTTTACAAAAGGTTTTTAACTAATGGAATTAGTTATACTGCCAAAGAATTATGCAAATATTCAGAGTCGAATATGTAAGCATACACAGGCATGTCTGCGGAGGAGATATAATCGTACAAGGAGTTTTCTGAGTTTGTGTGCTTATACTGTTTTCTGACATTCGCTGTATGTCTGGGTAAATTTTATAAGGTATCGGGTGAAATGAGTAGCCGTGAAGGTATGGATGATGCAATAAGAAGAAATTGTTAGTAGACTGGAGACAGGCCAGTCACAAGTGCAGGTGGCTATGGAGCTCAGTGTAATGCCCAGTGTTGTCCGCAATTAGTAGAAATAATTTCGGGACACTGGATCCATATCAAGAAGATCTGTATAAGGTCGACCAATATGCATAATGACGAATGAGGATTGTTATTTGAGGCTGTCAGTGCGGCTACAGCTTCACAGCTCTCGCGGAATCTGAGTTTCACGATCTACAGCTACCTGCAGGCTTCATGAGATAAGGGCTATATGCCAGAAGATCCGCTGTTTGGATCCTGTTCACTGCAGCGTACAAGAGAACAGCGCTTTTATCATGGTACAGACATCTTGGACCAGACTTTAGTAGAGCACCATGCGTTTTAAAGATGAGTTGAGATTCAGCCTGAACATTTATTCTCATCATATCTGGAGAGAGCATGGAACACATTATCATCCCCCTGTCATCAAGGAAAAGAACCATTGCATTGGTGGACGTGTAAGGGTTTAAGGAAGCATTAAATTGGACAGACGCACTCTCCTTCATATGTCTGATCTATGATCTATAATCCGGACCTCAAAGCTACAAACTTTTTCTGCGCATGCGCATAAGAACTTTACGGCTGTGAATATGTGTGTGCACATAAACATAATACGTTTTTTTGTTTTCACAAAACAACAAGTAAAGGCTTTTTTTTTTTTTACTCAACATTTTTTTCCAACAATCTGATAGCTGAATTACGCTTATGCTAGAACTTTTATGGAGCAAAAGTGCTTAATCATGACGAAGATTAGGTGCAAAATTGGGAGAAAGTGCAGAATCGCCCACTGCTTGCTGCGTTTTTACGAATTGCACATACACGGTATCCATGTACACCATGGATATCCATACACGGTATCCATGTACATATTTAGGTCCTTTTTTGTAACCTGTAGCATATATCTGATCATACTCCGATGTTTAAAAATATGCATGAAAAATGCAAGTAGTATAGCTTTGTTTGAAATATAAAAAAAGTATTACCTAGTAACCTTCAAAATAACATTAATCAGAATACACAAAATCAGAGATCTGCAATTGTCGGTACTTCAGTATTTCTGACTTTTTGGAAATTTCTGGATTTTATATTAGTATAAATTTAGTAAGTTGACATGTAGACATGGCAACATTGAGGTTTAACTTATTGTTTAGGTCAGATAAAAAAAGTGCTGACTTCCCATAGTTACTCAAGGGTTGAATGTGTGATATCGACTAATATCAATATGTCAGTCTAAGTATTACCAACTGGTCACAGTCAATCTAAGTATTACTATTGGCCATCCTTAGCCAATAGGTGTTTGAAAGTGATGTGTAGGAATCTGTTAGTTGGAAGAAAAATCACATTTATAACATACCTGCTTACTTTTGTTGAGTATTTCATTTTCCTTTCCTAGATTTTGCAATAGTTTTTTTTTTTTTTTTTTTTTTTGTGTGTGTGTGTGTGTGCGCTGGTTTTCCATAGGATATTGGACATCCAGGTTTCGGGCTTAGTACTATATTTGCACCAGAGTGCCCATACTCCCAGAAACATTGGAAAAATGCCTATTTGGTATTGGTAATAGACTGCCCATTACATTATTTTCGATAGTTTGAAATGTAATGAAAATGATCTGTGGGAACCATGCAGATAAAAGTAAATAGCGGGATCACATAGGGAGAAATCTTGTAAATATAGTTCTTTGGCATGACAAGAATTGGTTTTTGATCAAAGATATCTAAACTTATTTGTTAAAGTGCCTTTTCCTGAAAATAAATCATCATATTTAATGCTTGAAAGTTGCTTTAACTCTTATATAATTAACTATACAATACCAGATAGATCATATATGTATACAATTCTTGTATGGAGAGTGTGCCAACAGTCATTAACAGCCAAATTCAAATATTGCAAATATCACGCTTGTGACATGATTTTTCCATGAGCTTTATAAACAGAAATTTATATACACTCATTTCTATGCATATAGAAAGTAAGTTATTTGCACTCAATAGTGGTCTACAAATGATTAATTAATTTGACACTTTTTAATGATATGTGCAAATAAACTGAATATTGCACATTTTTGTGATTTTTAACAGTTTTCTTCACAATAACATTATGAAATACTAATCAAAGCACTGGTTTAATTTTTTTAAAGTTATTTAATATTGAAATGGATTTTGTACATGTGGATCTATGGAGCAGTCACAGTGAATTATCTACATTGGTATCCATAATGATATTGTATATTTCTTTTTAATTTGTATATTCCGTTTATCTATTATGTATTGCACTTCTTATGTTCAGTTTTTTGGTATGATGATATTCCATGAGCTTTCTTAAATTTATATTTCACCTCTAAACATAATTTCCCTCTGACAAAGCAACTCTTACTTTTTTTTTGGCATGAAACTCGTCTTTTACATATTAACTTCTCATAAGGTGATTCATTATAGTAATATTCCAAATAATTTTTAAAAATTTTTATTTCATTTTTAAATACACTCATTTATATTGACTTTGATAGCGATTGCAAAAGGCACTTTTCTGTTCTTTCAGGAAAAAGAAATTCTACCATACAGTAGCCATTGTGAGAACATTCATCAGATAAAGTGTTAAATGATCTGACGTGATGTATAGTTAAATGATGTTTGTTAGAAAAAATGATACCAATCAAGTGCTATTAAGAACAACTAAATATCTATAATAATACAATCAGCGATTAGAATAATTTAAAATATATTTCAGTCAATGATTGAAGGAGGTGTTTTTCAAAACATCTGGATGCATGCTAAAGACTGAATTGAAAGACCCGATAAAATTATCAAAATCAACAACATTCTCTTTATACATAGGTAAAACAATATCAAAGAGATCTGACCTAAACAGTGGATATTTCGGGCTTGGGCCATGAAACAGGAGAAGGCTTTCTGGTTCATGTTTCTAACAAGATGCCAAAACATGTTATTAGGGGTCTTATTGTGCCAGGTTTACATGGCAGCAGTATAAGGGTGGAGAAAAATTATTTTGGATCCTTTGTAACAGCCTTTGCAAAATTATACTAGCCGAAAATATTCTGGTTTTAGATTGACATTCTTTTGACAAATTAGTTTTCCAAAGGTGCAAAAGTTTTTTTTTCATGGTATCTTATCTATAAAAATATATCTAGTTTTTTTTATCTAGTTTTTTTTTTCATGGTAGCTTGTAGTTTATTGTATAGAAATTTCAAAAAATCCTAGCTCTAACCTTCAATCAGATTTTTCAGAATTCTTTGTAGAACTTATTTGTTTTTCAGAGCTAATTCTAAATATATTTATCATTTTAGAGTGTTCCTGCTTCAACACTAAAAAAACAAAAGCCATCTACAAAATATCACAGCATAGCTGCTCGACAGAGATTGGCTGAAGCAAAACTGAAAATGCAGGCTCTTGCCAAACAGAATGAAAATATGTTAGTAATTGACATAAAAGAACCTGCTAAAGCAAACTCTGCTATAAATTTGGAAAATGGTAATAAAGAGGAAAAGAGTTTTCAGACCAAAACAGTGGAGAAACTTAATCAACTTATCAATGAAGAAGAAGAAGAATCAATTGCAAAAGATGAGAGAGTTTTGGTGTTGTCAGCAACAGAAAGTAACATTAAAATTACTGATGAATCAGAGAAAACTATCAGAAATAGCAAAAACTTAAGTGATCAGTGTTTAAAAGCTTTCAACGGACAGTCAGAAAGAAAGCCAAATAAAGAGTCCAGTTTAAAATCCAGTAAGTATTAATCATTTAAGCATTATTTAAAATCCCTTTATCTTACGAACCCATACTATGTAGATTTCTTCCCCCCTTTTTTTTCTTTTCTTTCATTCTTTCTTTTCTTTTCTTTTTTCTTTTTTCTTTTTGGAGGTGAGTTAAATTTAAGCTTGCTGTTAATAAACTGCTTGTAAAATTAAGCTTGCTAAATTTATGTTTTATGTTTTGTTAATCCTTTCACAACAGCTGTCACATTGGCATACATTATGGAATTTTCCATTTCATAAATTCGTCAACTTACTGTATCGTTTGATAACGGAATATTATTAAGTTCATTTAGCTGCTTTTTCATTGAATTCTGTAAAGCAATATCTTTAGCTGCTGGTAATGTAAGGTTTTCTCCAATATCGTGAGCCTGTCGAATCTTGGCAATTCTTAGGCTTACTAGATTACTTCCAAAGCGTTTTTACTTGAAGTAACCATTCATTACTTGTTTACTATTTTTGAACTCTGATAATTTCCTCTTAAAATTCTTCAGATTTATCCTTTAAATTAGCATGCTTAGATTCAAGATGTCTTTTAAGAAACGATGGTTTCATACTTTGATTGAATAACTGTTCACTGCAAACAAGACACTGAGGGTCCATTTCATCTCCATTCCAGATAATTCCAAATGATAAATAACTTTCACTGTATTTTCTATAAACAATTTTTCTTTTTAATATTCTTAGTGCTAGTCTATTGCCCTGGATCCATCATCTCTGAATCATCACTTCTCCGCTTAGTCAATCCTGTAATCGATGTAAAGAATGATGTATTGGAATTTTGTACACCTAATGTGATAATCATTTCAATTATCAATATATCCTCATGTCATAGCTTCTAAACTTTTGACTAGAATGCATTATCAATTATTTAAAAAAAATTAATTTTAAACGTAATGAAAAAGCGTTTGAAATAAAATATAGGATAAACACAATGGATACCCTATAGGGCAACCATCGCTTTTCAAACTTAAAATTTTGCTTATGCTTAAAAGAAGCTTCAACAAATCAGTTTATGTGTCCTCAGTTCACATTTATATAAATTGTAAAAAGCTTTTGTTTTTTCTGCTGCCATTCTTTCTAGCCACTTCTCAAACATGGATATTTTTAGCTATGTTTGAGGTATGACCTGCCGGTTACTATACTTATATTTAAAAAAATAAAATTCTAAGAAGTTTGACTCACTTATGACAACAAATTAACCGGGATATTTAATTTCAAAATTTTTAACTTTTGTTGTCGTTTTCAACTTGCCTTAACTGAGTTAGAATAATTCGTGGAAATAAGTTTGAAGAAAGTGCAGCAAAATATGTGTATACTATACACTCATGTCCATAAATTAAGAATAATTTGGAGTCACGCAGAAATCGAACTCTAAAATAAATATATCACCTGTAAAATCACTACACACATCTTCAAGAATCATATGCAAATTTCAGGAAGTAACCAGATGGCACCGATGGTACGTCACAATGACGAGAGTGTAAGAGAGTGATATATAAAGAATACAGGCAAAGAAGTAAAATTGTTCGCACGGCGCTTTATAAGCATTTCAGTGCAATAACCGAATAGTTATGGACACAAAGGACGCATTTGGATGATTTGTTTACGTGGTGTAGAATTATCGGCCGTCTGGAAATGTGGGTGTACCCAACTGGAAGTATCAGACGAACTTGGAATTGCCCAGAGTGTCATCATCTCCAGGCTTTGGCAACGATTCCAAGATGATGGTAATGTGAGTAGACGTTACAGCACAGGTCGCCCCAGAGTTACAACGCTGAATGAGGACCGGTATTTGGCAGTTACTGCCAAAGAAAGCAAGTAAAGAGAGCAGGCAGTAAGTAGAGAGTAGAGCCTCAGAGCTGTCTCGTCAGCTCTCTTCAGCCACTGGTACGACAATTTCAAGGCAGACCGTGTACAGACGCTTAGGGCAGATTGGTCTATATGCTCGTAGACCTGTCAGATGCGTTCCACTTACTGCAACTTGCTGTCGAATGCGGTTAGCCTGGAGTAGAGAGCAAGCATTGTGGACACTGCAACAGTGGGCTTGTGTGATGTTTTCTGATGAGTCCAGGTTTAGCTTGCAGTCTGATTCTCGCCGGACTTTCATATGGAGAGCTCCAGGTACCCGTTACCACCAAGAAAACATCATTGAACGACACCGTTACGGTGATGCAGGAGTGCTCGTTTATGGTGGAATTATTCTGGGCTCCAGAACTGACCTGCATGTTCAAATTGGAACCATGACAAGCCGAATCTATCGGGACTTCATTCTGGAACAAGATGTACGTTTGTTTCCGCACAATTTGTGTTTATGGATGACAACGCCTGTTCTCACCGTGCAAACATCGTAAGCAAATGCCTTCAATCGGAGGATATCACCTGTATGGACTGGCCAGCATTCTCAGCAGACTTGAATCCAGTAGAGCACGTGTAGGACATGCTTGGCTGATGAGTTGCAGCCCGTCAACCTCCTCCTACATGTCTACCGGAACTTCGGAGAGCATTGCTTTTTGAGTGGTGTAATATCCCCCAAGATCAGATCGATAATTTGATACTCAGCATGCCTAGGCGTTGTACGGACTGTATTGCATCATCTGGGAGACATACAATGTATTAACAATCATACCAACCATGTAATATTGTTTTTTTGTAAATAGGTTTTTTTTTTTTGTAATTTGCTCCAGGGAGAAAAAATCGCTAATCTTTTTAATAATATCAAACATATAGCACCTTTTTTTTTGCTCTTTACCTTTTGTTTAATAAATAAGCTTTACAAATAAGTCAAATTTGTTTTGCTTCTAACTCTTCCTTTGCCTGATTTTGCATTATCCTTAATTTATCGACATGAGTGTATATCTGAGAACTGCAGTGGAAAAGTATTTGACCTGGGTATATTTTAGTGAATAGACAGAGACTGAAATTAGACTTTAATTTGATATTGGATTTTAGATTTAATTAGAGATTAGATTTAATTTTAGATTTTAATTGAGACTTTAATTTGTGTAATTTGAAATTGTGTTTAATTTATGTATAAGACTTGTACATACTGTAAATATCTGTTTCTTTAGTTATGTTATTTATTTATATCTTATGTTTGTTTCATTACGTTTTGTTTGTATCGAATTAGGCTTCTGACCAAGGGTTGTACTGCCCGGGACGTGCAGTCCTTGGGAGGGGACAGTGTTACGAAATGTAAAGGCGCGGGAAGATAGCTTCCCCGCAAAGCAGTTTTAGGGTTGTTATAAAATAGCAAGGAGGGCAGGGTTGCCACATTTGGCAAGAAATCGCCCATTTGGCGACAAAATTGGCAATATACCATGGGTGGTTGGAGAACCTTCTGGAACAAATTCTTACCAGTTTAGCCCAGAATGTTCTCGAACACAGGCCAAAAGCTATATAAACCCTGCTGGTCCGCAGTCATTCAGTGGGCGTCTCTCATTGAGTGAGTGTGTCTCGTCTAGCGAGTCAATCCCTGTGGAGGCGATCTCATTGACAGCCGACCAGCGAGTGCCGAGTGGGGTGTCGAGTGCACCGAAAGAGTCTCGTAGAGTATCGCGGTTAGTTCATCGTTGAGAGAGCGTGTTGAGCTCCGGAAACGACTGAACCGAAGAGTCAGGAGCTGTGCTCTGTGTGTCGTCGAGTGCATCGCGAGTTGTAGCGTGGAGTTCCGAGAACGACCAAGCAGAGTCGGGTGCTGTACTCCGGAAAGCAGAGTCGGGTGCTTTGCAGGAAGCTGTCTCCACCGTGATAGCCTGATAACCTGAAGGCTGTGTCGCTGATCGTGTCAGCATGTTTATAGTAGTTCATCGACAACTGTAAAACGTGTTTGGAACTGTCCCGACAATATTGTCTAAATAAAGTGTGTTTCGATACTTCAAGTGTCGTCGTTATTCACTCCAAATCTACGAACCCCGTACGAACGTGAAATGAAAATAACGTAACAATATGTTTTCATTATTTGAATGACAAATATTTTTAAAAACAAGTTTTTTCACAAGTTTACTGCCCCATCCAATGGCGTGAACCCCTAGCCATCACATCACATGGCTCCACTTTTGACTTAGTTTTCTACGCTAATATTGTATATTTTGTAAATACTCGTATTTAACCAAGATTCAATTATGGAACTTCTATCTGAATAACTATATTTTACTTTTGACTTTCATCATTTCAACTTTTATGCATATTTGTATCTGATTTGTATTTTACACCATCCCACGATGTTACACTCTTTAGCGGCAAAGTGCTACATTTTCCCTTATTTTCACATCTTGTCTCTGCGACACCTTTGTTGCGTTTTTTGTACTTCCAGGAACCCATATTGAACAACAACTGGCAAAAAGCCTGCAATCCATGCAGGCTAAGTCCAGTATAGCAGCGGAAAATGGAATGGAATGGAGCCAGTGTACTTCGAAGCGATTTTTTTAAAATTTTATCTTTTCGATTTTATCGCATCATTTTGAATAGTTTCATTCTTTTAGAAATGTGGTTTTAGCTACAGTTTTTCATTCAATTGTATACTGGACTGCTGACTGTTGAAAATCAGCACTGTTGCTACTTGGAAAAATGAGGGCGATAATTCTGTGCAGTTTTTAAATTTAATGTTTCTCTTGGATATTGGATGTTTGTTGAGAGAAGGCAACGACAAGTTGGTTAATTTATTTATTAGAATAATTAATATTTGTATTAAGGGATATTGCTTATTTCATTGTAATTTTGTTATATGTAATACATTTAAAAAAAAATCTTTTCCCTCCTTTCTTTCTTTGGACGAACTTGTTCTGCAGAGTAAAATTCTGCGCAGTTTTCAAATTTAACATTTGGTGTTCCCTTCAAGCATTTTTCCGGTACATTTAAAAGCCAGACGAAGGATGGCTGCATAGCTACTAATAATGTTAATAAAAAGTAACTAAAATAACATTTTTCTTTATTGACCTAAGTAGGAATTGACTTTAAAAAGTTTTTTTTTTTATAATACTTTTTTTTTTTTGCTGTAAAATATGCGTCTCTAAAAAATGTATGAGAGATGCTAATTATTTTAAAAATTGGAAATAACTAGATTTTAGATTGATTCTAAATATTATTTTTCTGCAGATTTTGGTGCAGTCCAGGATCCAGCCAAAGTTAGGTTTTTACTTTATGTGAGCTATTAAAGCAATAGTAAATGATTTGTTTTCCATTTCACTGGAAGTTGGCTATTTACAGAATTCTTAGTAACCTGTCATGCTTACTGCAATTAAATAAAAATGTTACTCATCTCTATACTTTGCATGTCTTATTCAAAATCCCATTTAAAATATTTACTGGAGATTTAACAGCACACACTAACATTACTGTTTCTAAAAATTAATAATATTATCTTTTCAGCCCTAAAGAAGAAAGAAAATTCAGCTCCTGTTCTTCAAAATATAAGAAAGTTAAAAGAAAATATTCCTTTACAATGCATAACAAGATCTTCTAAAAAGAAACTTTTAGTAGCACAACAAACAGCACTCCAAGATCAAAATGTTATGCATACTAATTAGTGTCCACACAATGAGGGAGGTGAATTGTACATATTCATGTCAGAAAGTTTTCTATTCATCTGTCTGTGAAAGTTCATCTTTTTATATTTTTATGTAGTACAAAATGTATTTAAAGATACTCTAATTTATTTTAGTATTCTGGTTTTATAGAAATAATGTAATTCAATTAGAGTGTATGTAGTTCAAATATGCATTATTTTTTAATTTACCGTGGAAACTTTCAAACTGCTTATGTATTATTCAGTCAATTTGTTTCATTCTAAATATTTATGTTTATGTGAATTGTTTTCTATATAATTTTATAAGCAAATTATATTAAACTAAACAATCATAAACATTTGTATTGAAGTGTTAAATATAGCAATAAATTGTTTCCAGAACAAAAGAAATGGTCATAGTTATTATATTGCAAAATCTAAATCTTGGACTTAGCGCAAAATATCATAAATAAAGTTCATAGCAATACTTTCTGTTCTTTTACCCTAATTTATGTGAATTATAGCTAATAAAATTTGGATCTTGAAACAGACTGAAGCATCATGTATTTTTATGCAGTATGATTAGATATAATAAATTTGAGTTATTTGATGAATCCATACCTAATATAGACAAACAATTATGGCAATTTCATTAAAACTGACACATGATTGTCATACATGAATGAATTATTCATTATTACTCTACAACAGCATCTCTCAAGCAGGGTTCTCTGCTATTCAACTGGTTCACAATAGTTTGGCAGAATCATTTCCTAAAATATTTTTGTTCAATGATCTGATTTTTAATACTGTTAGTATAATATTTATTTAAATAAATTGTAGCACAAGACTATATTTCTTTGATATTGACAGTTTTTTTATAGATCAGTGCAGCCTAATGTGGAGTATAAGGCTACACAATTGAACAGTAGATTAACAACTGTGTCACCTGTATTACTGAAATCCAATAATTCAGGATAAAAGGTGATCCTTCTGAGACAATTTTGCTTATAAGCATTAACTATTAGCAGATAGTCCTGCTTACTTCCCGATGATTTGAAACAATATGCAATATAATCTCACTTTTAGTAGCTTTTTATTTAGTTTATTAAGTTAATAATTAAAAATAAGTTAGATATGGTATTTATGAATACATTGGCATAAAAGTTACTGAGTTAATAAAAATAAAATTAAAAAAGTAGTATTTGGTAAAATTATTGGAAAAGTTGTAAAATGTGTTCAATTATTTTTCAAAGTTTCAACAATATCCTGAAATTCTCATATAAATCATAAAATTAGCCTAGGCAACAACCTTGTGTTTGGTATAGTTTTAGTCAAGACAAACATCAAACACAAGGTTGTTGCTTTCCTTAAATTTTATGTTTCTCTTCCCTCTTGATCCTGAAATCAGTTATCATGAGTTTTTTTTAAGGATTCACTTACATAATGGGACATCAAACCTGTTGATATGTCCCATTATTCAAGTGATCCAGTGATTATTCAGTGAATTGGATATCAAACCTGTTGAATGGAAAGGAAGTAGAAGGATGGAAACAGCATACTTTTCAATCTCAAAAAGCTTATAATTGTCAAATTTGCCAATAAGTAACTAAAAAAATCTGATGTGTACACCACATGACTTCCTCTTATGGAATATTAAATTATACGCATTTTTTCTCTTGCATTTCATTTAAACTTATTGGATTGAATTAAATCTACTTTGCCGACAGCGCATAAACCACAATAGAATAAATGCATTCTTTAAAATTCACTCTATTTGTTTACCACAGCGACACTCTGGCGCTAAATTCACTTAACAGTATTATATTTCATTCATATAACTCAGAATGCACAAAATTTATATCATTTAAAGAATTATCTAATCGTTGCCATGTGTTCTATTCAAATACTATAATAAAGCTAGAATGATGTATAAAAGAATTTAAGCAAACAAAACAAAAAAGAAACAGTTTTTCACAGATGATTGAGTATTTCTCATTCAATTAATTCAGTTCTCACTTCGCAACAAGGCAAAAATGCATAAAAACACAAAATATCTGTATTAAAAATTACGAAGTAACTCTTAAACACTAATTTCCTCGAAAAAATTCCAGAAAGGAATGAGCATGCTTTAATTCACAATAATAATGAAGGCGTTATCTTTGTTGTTGCGAAGCTAAGTTTCTCTAGATTGGAACAAATCCACTTGTCTGCTGTTTCAAATGTAAACAAGCAATGGCCGCCATAAAAAAAATTATTGCTTAGTGGCACTTAAACAACTTTAAAATTGTTGATAATTCTAAAAATATTGAATGCAGATTTACTAAAGGCATAAAAACCTTAACCGGAAGATAAGAACAACATAATTCAATCATTTTTAAAGCAAAAAGTGCACAATTTACAAACTTATAAGAATAAAGAAACTGAGATTACTGAGCCGAGTAACAGACAGGGTTCGTACGGTCCTTAAATTTTTTGAATCCTTAAAAGTCCTTAATTTTGGCCAAAATCAGTAGAAGGTCCTTAATTTTAATCATCTGAAATTTCTCTCTGTTTTTACGACTGCCATTTTGAGTGTGAATTTGCATTTTGGAGGAATATTTTTGGCAATTCACTGACGTATTATATGGTTATCTTTTGAATGGGCTCATGGGTTATAATTTGTTTCTATTTCTAATATAAATGATGGGATACTCGAGTTTCTAAGCAAGAAGTGAAACGTAAGCATTTCGAAATTCATTTTTTCTAATAAAGAGCTCTTAAACAACTTTTCGCTTTTGGGTTGTGAATTCTTTTATTAAATGATTCTAAATTTGATAACTTGTCAACATTTTGGCGATTTTAAGATCAGTTTCTATAGAAAATTTTTAATTCCGAGATCTCAGTACTTTTCGGCGATGTTTTTAAAATATCATCACATTGATAAATTTCATTAAAATAATGGTAATATATTAGAATTTATATTTAAAAAATGACATTAAAATAAAAAATTTTTATTTTTCACTGTCATATTATAAAGTTTAATTTTTACAACTTATTATGCAATATTTTAAATCTGGAAAATAAACAAGGTATATAGCTATAAAGCATAATTTACGAAACAGCTCTTAGTAAAAGCAAAATTAGCTATGTAACTAATTAAAATGTCTTCTTTTTAATTTTTTCATAGTAAGCGTTTTTCCCATGTAATTGTCTCAGATTATTCAAAATTCTCAGAATATGCATCAGTTTTCTCTATAAAATTAATTTTACACTTTTTCCTTCCTTTTTTTTTTCAAAATATTTTTGGCTTTTTGCTGTTACAGAATTGGTTGGGATAATTTTTCTTTAGTATTTTTGACATTGCAGCATGGAAAGTTTAGAAGGATTTGAAGGCAAGATTTATAGACCCATGATTCTAGAAGATTCGAGAAATATGTGACAAAATGAAAAATGTCTCCATGGTATCAACATATCAACACGTAATGGATGCATTCTACAGAAAGTTTGCGATGAATTTCTTACTTTTTGGAGAACGTCTGGAAGAACAATGGAAACATAATATTTGAATGTTTTACTTCTGATACTAGAATCTTTTTTCTTAACATGTTTATCTTCCCTTTATTTTCTCTACTTTTCACTATACTAAAGCATGAAAATGATCAAAAATGTTTCTAATCTTATCACTTGGGCAGGCATTACAGAAAGAGTTTTTTTATTAATAAAGAAATTGAAAACTTACAATTTAAAAGATTCATCTGATATGTCTAAATGCATCGTACACAGAGCTGGTGCTATGCATTTTCCCACCTGATGCAATCTCTGTGTATCCTAAATTCTGCTTCCAATGCCTGCTTTAATTCTAAAAGTTTTGCCATTTCTAGATTTTGTTGTTCTGTGTGTCACTAAATTCTAAAAATTCTGCCACACCAGCTCTGTAACCGGCCTTTACCATATATATTTCATATTTCTTCTGAATGTTCATATTACTAAAGAAATAAAATTAGCCGCTTTTTCTGTACAATCTAGATGCATTTAGTGTTTTTTAGAATAACAGAAATCCTTAATTAAATCCAAAAATTCTAAAATTAAAAGGAAACGCTGAAGAAAGAAACCGAATACATAAAGAAAATTATTCTTCAAAGATATGTGCAGTTATTATGTAAATTACCCGATTGTTTATTATTTCAGCCTTTACTATAACTTCCCATTTCTGTTTCCTCATATGATAGAGTTACTGAGCGAGATTAAATTAAAATTAAATTTTATTATCTTTGACCACTAGTCCACATTTTTAGTTAGAATTTGACTGTTCTTGTTTAATTACATCGCCGTGAGCTGTAATTGACTTTGTTAGCATCAAAACATGCCTTTATGTTCTAAGTTCTTTGTCTGATATAGTAGTTACTTTCAGATACAGTGATAATTTGCTTCACGTCTATCGGGGGGGGGGACTTTTACAAGATCAAGTAAACCCTCATAGGTACATTGTGGAGAGGTTGACAAGATAGGAGATAAAGCACACAGAAACTAGCGAGAACATTGGTTTGCATATTGAGACAAATTTCTAATTATTGTCAGAAAAGATCTATAATTAAAGAAAAGGAAATCGATATAAACTAGCCAAAATGTTTGGGAAGACTTGTAGAGACATTAGGTATTTTTGAAAGCAGGAAAGATTAAAAAATTAACAACGCTTCGCCGGGAATCGAACTGTGGACCTCTGGAATACCGCTACCAGTGTGCAAACCACTACACGAAGAGTCGCCAAGAAAGTAGGAGAAATACCTTATATACTCCCCCTTTTAAAGGGCGACTGGGGTTTTTAGGGGATCCAGTCGCCAAATCCTTTGTGTGGAGGACCATCATCCAACACCCATAAAGTAAAACTTATTCTTTGCATCTACTGAGACTTATAATATATATAAAACAACTTATCACCTCTGGTGCTTTAATGGATTATTGGAACCTTAAAGTATATTAACTGAGTTACAACAGCTGGAACTCTACACGAAGCTATGACATTAACTGCATTAAGCAGAGCTTGACTAACTTTCAACACATACCAACTGTGCCTACATCAGGCCTTTCAGGTTTGTTCCAATCAGCAGGTCTCTCTATAGACAAGCAGCAGACGGACAACATTCAGTCTTTTGTTATGAATCATGCTGATTATGCATAAGGGAGGGGTAATGAAGGGGTAAACTTCTCATTTTAACCTATGCCGTTTGACATAAAATCTCCCTACTATTTGCTAAACCTCTAGACTGCCCAAGTATGTGATGAAATGAGACATTAAAAAAAAAAAAAAAAAAAAAAAAAAAAAAAAAAAAAAAAATTCAGCATAAAGCTAATTATTAATAGAAACGTAAATGTTACTTAGCTTTTTTTAAATATGCCAACTATTATAAGTGTAAAATATTTAATGCTACTTGATAAACTGCATGAAGTTTATTTTATTCTCAAACTTATTAATAATTATGTTAGTTAATTCATGTTTAGTAATAATGCATATTACTTAGGCATCTATTTTATTTTTAGGATGGTATTACAAAACTGAAATTCAGGCATA